CATTCAACTTACACAACTGTATATTTAAAGAATCCATACAAGTTAGTAAAAAAAATACAAGATAATATAGAAAAATGAGCAAAAGATACAATCATTTTCACAAAGACAAAACACAAATAGCCCATAAAATTATGAAAAGGCATTCAACTTTATCAGTAATCAGGAAAAAAAAAAACACAATGAAATATCATGTCACTATCATTGGCAAAAACATTTAAGGCCAGATGGTACCAAACCTTGACAAGGATATGGAGCAAGGAAGTGGCTGGTGGTCTTACTAATTGAAGCAATTATTTTTGACAATAGTCCAACATCTCCAAGTAAATTTGGAGACCCAAATAACAAGCAACCCAGCATTCTGTACCTTGGTATACGCCCTAGAGAAAGACTTTCCCTTGTGCACGGTTCAATAGGAGGCATGCTGTTAGGGACGCTCATTGCACCACTGATTGTAAGAATTTGCCAATGGTGGAATGGATAAATTAATCTCAGCAAATTCACGTAACAGAATGCTATACCAGATACACACCAAGTGAATGAAGGCAGGGATGATTTTCAGTCTTTAACAACTGGGCAGCACACAGGCACTGGCCAATCAGGATGAACCCCAGGCAACAACTGCAACAGCCTGACATATAGATGTATGATTTGATAAGCAATGGATGGAGAGAAAAACTAAAGTAATAAAAGAATTAAGTTGTGAAAGAAAACATGCTATGACCCCAAAACCAAGAAACACATTGTTTAGCAATACATGTTTGGTAAACTTCTAACGAAGAGAGTGCTTAACAGAGAAGGGGAGAACTGGTGGGAGTGGGAGTGAACAGCAAGCAGGAAACTTCTGAGTACTGGTTGTAGTCTTTGTAGTCTTTTTTTTTTTTTTTGCCAGGTAGAGCTATAGACAGAGAGAGAAAGAGAGAGGTCTTCCTTCCATTGGTTCACCCCCCAAATGGCCGCTAGACATTTACCTTTAAATGATATTTATTCTACATGCTCTTTTGCACATTTGTTTCCAATTTTAAAATTAAGTGAATAAACTGTTAAGAAATGACTAAGCAGCTCAAAGAATCACTAGGAAGGCTGGAGGGCCAGAGGCTGAATTATGGTCCCTGTGCCACAGAACAGTCAGCAGTCACCGGCGAGCACCACATGCAGCCTGCAGCACTGCCTTGCACACCAAAATTCTATCGTAGAGTACGAATCCTGTACAGGTCTCCGTTTTTAAACATCTTCATTCCTAAATCCAAATCTAGTACAGATTTCTCTCAACAACAGAGTCCAAGCCGCTTGTCAAAACCTAGCTGCAAGTGAGGCTGGAAACCTGGTCTTCCCATTCAAGTTCTTTTTATTGGATACTTACTCCTAATTATAACCAATTCTAGACACTAAGGATACAAGAGAACAAACTACCTATAGAATTTACCTTCCATGGGAGTGGTAGGAGGCAGTGTGACAACTAAAATAAATAGCCAGACAAGACTCACTCATGAGGGAACACCACAAATACAAAAAGGAGGTTCCAACTCTGACATGAAACAAGAATGATAAATGTCTCCCGTGGGACATACCATTTATGAATATATAAAGGCAAACAATTAGCTTAAAGAAGATACACACTGGTAAACCTCTGTTACCCAATTTTTTACTCCCATTACCACTGTTTTAGTAATTCATTTCCCTATGCTGTCCACCCCAATTTTTTTTGGGGGGGGGACAGGCAGAGTTAGTGCAGTGAGAGAGAGAGACAGAGAGAAAGGTCTTCCTTCTGTTGGTTCACTCCCCAAATGGCTGCTATGGCTGGTGCTGCGCCGATCCGAAGCCAGGAGCCAGGTGCTTCTCCTGGTCTCCCATGCGGGTGCAGGGCCCAAGCACTTGGGCCATCCTCCACTGTCTTCCCGGGCCACAGCAGAGAGCTGGACTGGAAGAGGAGCAACCGGGACAGAACTGGCGCCCCAAATGGGACTAGAACTCAGAGTACTGGCGCTGCAGGCAGAGGATTAGCCTAGTGAGCCGCAGAGCCAGCCCCCAAAATTTTTTAAATTTTGCAAATTAGACACAAAAAAATCTCACTCTCAGGTGCATTTTTTTGATTCACATCACACTTTTCTTTTGTAAACAGTTGTGCTGATCTATGTCCCATTTTCCGTGGAGACAATGATTTTTTATAGGATCTTGGCCTATCGGCTATGCTACAAATATCTTCCCACTGTCTTCTCATTTTGTGGTGTTTAAAAACCAGTTTTGAATCTTTTCAAAGTTCATCTTGCAACCTTTTCCTTTATAGTATTTTCCCCAAACCAGATTTCTTTTTCTAGTTCAAGATTTCCTAAGTCATGTGTTCTCTTCCAGTATTGTACGGCTTATTCTTCTATACCTTAAAGCTTCAGTCCTAAGATCCCAGGAATATCTTCATTCAGCGATCCTAGGATCATTCATTTCATAAATCAGTATTTCTCCAAGCTTAAAATTCTATCCCTTACGTACAAAATACACTTATAAGCTTGGATGTTCATGTAATTTCTTGCTGATTCTATCATGCTCTCTCTACTTGCATCACGACCAGTAGTTTAGTTATTATGGAATCATGTTTTAACATCTGATACATATGCTGCTCTTTTCAAACATTTTCTCAATTGATCCCTTCTTTAAGTCCATCCATATTCACTACAGAAATACATAGTATACATTACAGAAAATACACAGTACTTTCCACAAGGAAAAGTTCAGAGCAAAATGTAGTATTATGGAAATAATTGTATTATGGAAATAAAACCGTTCAAATACTTAAGGCTGTGAGAGAAAAACAGACCATCTATGAACTTGCTAAGCCGCTGAGCTGGCCCTTCAACATCTGGGAAAACTCACCTAACTCTCACGCTTCCTAGTGGCAGAACTGTCGTGAATTTCAGTAATGTTAAAAGGATGCACAGCAGATCCAGAATATTCTGGCATCAACCAGAATCTGCCACTTGCCTTTGGCAGTTCTCTCTAGAAGCGGGGCTATTTTCAGATACAATGGACTTCAGAATGTGTCTGTCAACAGAGCAGTAGGCTATTTAGACATGAACATTTTAGGATTAACACACGCCATGTTAAATGAAGAGGAAAATCACGACTGGAAGAAGCCAATCTTTATTCTTTACCACGGCCGCTGGAACCTCCAGGTTGCAGGGCCCCTGGCTGTCTTTGGTTCTGAAGGGTCCTACTTTTCCACAGGACGTGCCTTGTCTTCATTTCTACCTCCCACACTTCCTTTCCTTCCACTAGGCGTCAGGCACTAACTGCTGATGATCCCTGGCATTTAAACAGCAGAAGACTCAGGACCTAAATCTTGTACTTCCCAGGGCTGGCCTTACAGCACATCCTCTGATTAGATCAGGGGACGGCAGGGTGTTTCAGATCAGTAGCTGTCACCTAAAGAACTGGAATCTTATCAGTTATACAACTGTCAAGATTAAAATGACTTGTAAAATATTCAGGTATTTCATTTATGGTCCCCAAATAAATATGCACTGATATGAGACATTTCATTTATGGGCTCAAATCCAATCCACACAGACACAGATGGGGGACATTATAGATTACTGTTTAAATCCTTTTCTCCCACTTAATTATTACAGTATTAGGAATGATATAGGAAGTGTGACACCTCTGTATCTTGAAGTGGCAGAGTTCAAAAATAGTCAACATATTTCTTACGCCCACCATCATCATTCTATCTAGATTATTTTTTCCCCAAGAGCAAATAGTGAAAATATTTGATCTAGCTCTCTGCTATGGCCTGGGAAAGCAGTGGAAGATGGCCCAAGTGCTTGGGCCCCTGCACCCACGTGGGAGACCCAGAAGAAGCTCCTGGATCCTAGCTTGGGATTGGTGCAGCTCTGACCATTGCGGCCATCTGGGGAGTGAACCAGTGGATGGAAAACCTCTCTTTGTTTCTGCCTCTCTCTGTGACTCTTTCAAATAAATAAAAATAATTCTTTAAAAAAAAAAATCAAATGACGATGAAAATGACTCTCACTGATTCATCGTCCTCATTTATAGAATGAGGATATCACCTACCTCCCAGGGTGATAGGATTACTCAAACTAAGGGAGATGAGTACCTAGTATAAGCCAGGTATAGTAAGCACTGAGATTAGCACTAATTTTCCCATCCTGATACTGCACTAAATTAAGAACACACACACAAAACCAACCAGGATCTGAGGCTTCTTCAACACACATAGTATGTACTTTATTTCAACGTGGGGCAGTCGTAGTACAGCTCCGTCACAACAGATTCGGAACACAAGTCACAAGTAATAGTTTCAGTGGCTACTTTCTAAAACCTGCCAACTCGGGAGGCTGGCATACAATACTGACTTGTTTTCCAGCCGTAGGATGCTTCTATGATCCTACGATGCTTCAAACAAAAACACACGCGTTCAAACCTCCACTGTAATGTTAAGCCATTACACCCTATAGTGGCGCTAATGCGGGAACTTCGAGGCTCAAGGAAACAAACAAAAAAATCGTTAACGATCCACTAGCAAAGAAATGCCACTAAAAATAGCTTAGAAATACTTAAACGCTTCGGTGATTTCGGTATTTTATTTCGGATCCCGCACAAGATAATTATTACAGCACTCTGTCCTCAGCTCCGCTTAAGTCTGCACCGGGAGATTTTAAAGACGACAATTAATCGCGCTTAACTGACTGTCGGGCCAGCGGGGGTTACTGGACAGCTCGGGGGGGTGGGCGCAGGGTCGCAGGAGCCCCCGGAACACCGGCTTGAGGGCTCCCACAGCGGAAGCAACGGCGGGGCGGCGGCGGCCCTGGAGCGGCAGGGACAGCGGCGGGAGGCGGAGCGGCCGGCGGGGCGCGGGGGGCGCCGGACCCCGGCCCGAGACGCGCCCCCGCCTCGGAGCGGCTGTGGGCGGGCGCTCGGCGTCCACTCAGGCCCCCGCCGGGCGGGCGGGCCCCGGCGCGAGTCCGCCCCGTCCCGCCTCTTCCCCTTACCACGTAGCCCCCCCACACGTAGAGGAAGTTTCCGTCCACCACGGCGCAGTGGCCGCTGCGCTCCTCGGCCACGCAGAACAGCCGCGAGTCCGCCATCCGCGCCGTCGCTCGCTCGCCGGCCACTGGGCGCGCCGCAGCCCCTGCCCGCGGCGCGGCCTCTCCTCGCGTCCCGGCCCCTACACGCACAAACGGAACGCGCCGAGGGTCGAGATTGGTGGGAAGGCGGAGCCAGTGCGTCTGCGCCGTGCCGCGGCCGCTCGCCGGGGAAGCGGAGCCGGGCGCCCTGGCGCCGAGAGGCGGCGGGGTTGTGGGGGTGGTGGAGGGAGATGGCGCCGGGGCTTGAACCCCTGCCACCTGCTTGGGAGTTGGGGGTGGAGTCTGTTAGCCTAGTGAGGGGCTCCTGTCTCCTTCCCAGTGACCAGGATGGCAAGCTACGCCCCTTTTCCTCGCATTCCTTGGAAACGGATCGGCCAAGAAGTCCCTGTGTTCCTACTTTTGCAGTGTCTCGAGCGTGTCCCGTTCTCTCCACGCCCATGGCCGACGCCCCCACTTGAGACCCCAATGCCTCCAGCCGGTAGTGATTGTGTTCTGTTCTACAGCAGGGCGACTGGAGTTCACAAAAACGTATGCTTCAAGATAGCGAGGAGAGGGTTGTAATGTTTTCACCACGAGGAACTAACAGATGTGTGAGCTGATGCCCATTCCCCTAATTCGATCGTTCACAACACACTTGTGGCCCATGGGGTTACATTTCCTGTGTCTTCTGATCGGTTATACGCGTCGTTAAAGCAGACCTACTGGGTTTTGTGTTCAGGGATAGGTCCACAGCATGAAGCACAGGTGCATGCCAGGTATTCAGTACTTAGTGAAAGTTGTGGTTAACTAGAGAAGATGAGATTCTGAACCAAAGGCTGTGACCCTGGAGATGAAGCTGAGAGACTGAGAGACGCATAGAATAAACAAGGTGTAGACCATCAGCCCTTCACCTTGGGGTGGGTGGATTTGGGAACTCCAGAGCAGCCTTCCGACCCGTGAGGACGATGTATGTGTGTGTGCCCTTGTCTCACAGGGAAGACGGTGAGCGCTCCTCAGCTTTGTGGGGCAAGGGAGGAGAAGTCAAGGTGACTTCGGGAGGGGTGATAAGTTCCTTTAGGGGCGTATTGAATTGGCGTTGAAGCCCAAGGGACAAAGGAGCTGGACATAAGGATTTTGGAGTCAGCAGCATATAATTATTCATTCAAGTATTGGACCTGTATGAGCCATAGGGGAAGTCGTTGAAAATTTATGGGAGAAAGGAAATCACTGGAAATGGGGGGGGGGGCAGAAATCACTGTTAGATTGTAAGAAGAAACTGGGCATTTGGATAAATTTTTCCTTTCCAATTCTTAATATGAAACATATCAAACATACAGAAAAGCAGAAAGAATAGTTTGAGGAATGTTACCGGTCATGGAGGGGAGGGCAGTTGCTGGAGTGAGTCTTCAGGGTTCTTTTCCTCAGCTCAGTATTGAAGTGAAAAGCCAGGAAACAATTTGCAAAGAGGCAGAAACTTTTGTTTGATTGACAAGTGACAGAGAAAGCGTCTGGTGCGAGAGGAGACCAGGCGGAGTGCCCGAGCGGGGCACTGGCTTTGGGGAAGTGTCCTGGGTTTTTAAGGCATTACTATCTGTTCATTGGGTTATCCTGTTGGAGGTTCCCATTGGACTAGGGGTTTCACATAGGTATGTCGATTAGCTTGGGGCTCAAGGAGATAGCGGGGGTCTTCGGGAGACTCTTTAGGGGCTCAGCCCCCTCCTCTGCTAGCTCTGGGTGGAAGATTGCAACTAACTCAAAGGCATGGTTTAAAACCACAAGGTCACACAAGATAGCCAAGGTCTCTTGGAGCCAGTCCAGCTCTCCCCAGGTACTCAGCCCCTTCCCCTGCCAGCTCAGGGTGAAAGCTTGCACCCACCCTGGAGGTGTGATTTAAAGCTGCCAGGTCACACCGGCAGCACAAGAAGCTGTTAGTGGGGGAGATGCCAGTTGGCCTGGAGACAGGCTTTCCAGCCATGGCTGGCAGCCGGCTTGTGAAGGACGTTCTACCTGTGTTTGAGGGGCCCACAGACCCCCAGCCCCACTGGCCGGCCTCAAGGAATACCCATTACTTAGGTTTAATAACACTATTGCTAGTTTTACATTTGTTTGTATGTAGGTATGTACGGTTTTCATTTTGGTAGGCATGTTAAACTTCAGTATATATTTTCTAAAAATTGGAACACTCACATATCCACCTAAGAAAACTAAGTTGTTCTTTAATATAATTTATCTGCAATCCATATTCAGGATTCTCAAATTCAGGGGCCACCTTGTGGTACAGTGGATAAAACTGCCACCTGTGATGTTGGCATCCCATATGGGTGGTGGCTCCTGTCCTGGCTGCTCCACTTCTAATCCAGCTCCCAGCTAATGGCCTGGGAAAGCAGCGGAAGATGGCCCAAGTTCTTGGGACCCTGTGCCTATGTGAGAGACCTGGCTGAATCTCCTGACTCCTGGCTTTGGATGGGCCCTGCTCCTGCTGTTGCTGCCATTTGGGGAGTGAACCAGCAGATGGCATTTCTCTCTCTCTCTCTGCCTTTCAAATAAATAAATTTTTTGTTTTGTTAAAAAAAAAAGATTACTAGAGAGAAGGGGAGAGAGAGAGAGAGAGAGAGAGAGAGAGAGAGAGAGAATCTGCCATCTGCTGGTTCACTCCCCAAATAGCCGCAATGGCAGGAGCTGAACCAAGCTGAAGCCAGGAGCCAGGAATTACATTCTGGTCTCCCATGTGGGTGGCAGAGGCCCAGACCCTGTGCCACCCCCCGCTGCTTTTCCCAGGGCATTAGTAGGGAGCTGGATTGAGGTGGAGCAGCTGTGCCCACATGGGATGCTGTTGTTGCAGGCAGCAGCTTTACCTGCTAAGCCACAGCACCAGCACCAATAATAAATCTTTAAAAAAAAAAATTCCCAAATTCAGGGCCAAGCTTGTGGTGCAGCAGATTAAGCCACTGCTTGCAAAAGTGATATTGCAGCTGGTTCCCATATTCTGCTGCTCCACTTCCAAAGCCAGGAGCCAGGAGCTTCTTCCATGTCTCCCATGTGGGTGCAGGGGACAAAACACTCATGCTGTCTCCCGCTGCTTTCCCAGGCACATAATCAGGGAGCTGGATAGGAAGTGGAGCAGGCGACTGTACTTGCTAAGCCAAAATCTCATCCGCGAAAGGAGGCTGTTGTGGAAAAAAATAGCACACAGTTCATTGGGCCGTTGTGAGCATCACATAAATTACTACTTTTTACAAAATGATATTTTCATTTATTAGGAGAGCGGCGAGGAGGAGATCCTCTGCCTCCTGGTTCACTTCCCAAAGGGCCACAAGGCGTGGGCTGGACCTGGCGGGAGCCGGGAGCCGGGAGCCGGGAGCTCTGTCACATCCTCAGCTGCTTCCCCAGGCGCATTAGCGGAGTTGGATCTGAAGCGGAGCAGCCGGGACTGCAACAAGCCGCTCTAACGCCCGCCTTGCAGTCAATGTGCACAGCGTATTTCGGGGACCTGAGTGAAGTGGGGAACACACCACGGGGTCCCCTGCAGCCACTGGGTACCCCAGCAGTTCTCACGGCCTCTTCGGAGGGGAGGAGGATGGGGTCCGGAGTCACAGAAGGTCGAGGAAAGCAGGAAGGGCGCTGTCGCCGCCCGCCAGCTGCGAGGAATCGCACAGCCGGCTCTTATCACGCCCCAGCGCGCCGCGGACTGGCCGGCTTACATCCCGGGAAGGGGCGGAGCCTAGGAGGGGAGCTCCTGCGAGGAGGCGGAGCCGAGTTGGAGGCCTCCCGGGAAGGAGCGGATCCTAGGTGGGGAGCTCCTGAGAGGAGGCGGAGCCGAGTCGGGGACCTCCCGGGAAGGGGCGGAGCTTGGACGGGGAGCCCCTAAGAGGCGGGGCCGAGTCGGGGACCTCCCGGGAAGGGGCGGAGCTTCAGCCGTGGCGCCAAATCGCGAACATGGCGCCGGAGAGAGTGCGGAGCCGGGTGCTCTCCGCCTTCAAGCTACGCGGCTTATTGCTGCGGGGGTGAGTCGGCCGCGGCAGCCTGAGCTGCAGGGAGGCTAGGACCAGGGCCCGGCTGACGCGCGGGGGGCAGCGGGGCGCTCCGCAGCGGCTCGCTGCACGCCGAGAGGGGCTCGGCTTTAAATGACAGACACCCTTAAAACGTTCTTAAGAAGCCGGCTTGAGGCTGCGAACACTTGGACCGGGCGGCGCTGGCGCGGAGTCGAAATGAGGCTGAGGCGGGGCGAGGCTCTAATGCACCTGCTGCACTGAGCCAGAGAAGCGGGGCACTGTGACTCGGGTACCTCTGGGCCTCCCCAGGACTCCGCCTCTGCTCGGCGAGAGTCGTTCGCGGGGCATCTCCGGGACTGACACGAATGGGACTCGCCTGTCAGTGCTGTCCTCTGGGGGCAGGGACTGTACCCGGCGCCCAACCCTCCCAGTCTGGGATCAAGTATTATTTCCTGGAGAGTTAAGATGGATAGCTTTGAAGCGTGCTTCTAGGTGTCTAGGTGTGGTCTGAGTATAGCTTCTTTGAAAGTCAGGTTTTCCGGGTGTATCCATTTTTTTTTTTCTGTAGAACCTATGCAAGGAACTTCTCCAGAATTTCTTGCTTTTTAGAATACAATATTTTATACACATTTAAATACCTGCTGGACTGGATATACTTTTCCGTACCAGGTTTTGATTACTTCTGTATATGTAGAATTTCTTGGTTTCTAGTTGTCTTATGGGACTTTTTACCTTTAAAAATTCTTTATGTGCTTTATTGGAAAGGCAGAGAGCGAGCTCCCATCCACTAGATCATTGCTCAGTCAGACCAAGCCAGGAGCCAGAAATCCATGCGCGTGTTCCACGTGGGTGGCAGGGACCTGGCCTGCGGCCTCCCAGGGTGCATATTAGCAGGAAGCTGGCATCAGAAGCAGAGCTGAGATTGGAATCTAGGTACTCTCGCATAGCCTGTGAAAGTCCTAACCATGTTGGAGTGGGTGCATCAAACATCCCTGTGGGACTTTTTAAACTTTGTTTTTGGATTAATGGTGAACAGGGCAAGACTGAATGTGTCCTGGGAAAAAAAATAATGGATTTCGTTCTACTAATTGAGTTTTTGAGTATAGAAGTAATTGCTCAGTTAACTTTCATTTCTTTTCACTTAAGAGTTTGGCTAATACTAAACTGTTGTTTGTCCATTATTTCTATCAGAAATATGCTTAAAGCTGCTAGCTGCGATGCCCTGTAGCGGGTAAATAGAGAGTAAGACACGTTGGAGCTTTGTGGGTGGCAACTTCTGTATTAGCTCTTTTTTTTTTTTTTTTTTTTTTTTTTTTTTGGACAGGCAGAGTGGACAGTGAGAGAGAGACAGAGAGAAAGGTCTTCCTTTGCCGTTGGTTCACCCTCCAATGGCCGCCGCGGCCGGCGCCCCGCGCTGATCCGATGGCAGGAGCCAGGTACTTATCCTGGTCTCCCATGGGGTCCAGGGCCCAAGTACTTGGGCCATCCTCCACTGCACTCCCGGGCCATAGCAGAGAGCTGGCCTGGAAGAGGGGCAACCAGGACAGATCTGGCACCCCGAACGGGACTAGAACCCAGTGTACCGGCGCCGCAAGGCGGAGGATTAGCCTAGTGAGCCGCGGCGCCGGCCATGTATAAGCTCTTCCCTCTTAACAAGTTCCTGCAAAGCTGTCTGTGTTTTCTGTCTGCCAGGAGTGTATGTGTGGCTTAGTTGAGTCCTTAATTTAGGGTCTTTTCACAAAGGTGCATTGAAGATAAAACCTGGATTGATGAGTGTTTGCCATTTTGGGGGCACAAAAATTTTCACTTCCACTGAATGGCTTCATCTTTTCTTCCGTTATCAGTGAAGCTATTAAATACCTCACAGAAGCGCTTCAGTCTGTCAATGAGGTAGAGCTTGAAGATGCGTTGGACAGGATCATCGATGCGGTTGAAAAGCAGCCCTGTAAGTGAGAGCGCCTCATTGTTACTGCGGTTCGCACGCTTCCTTGGGTTTCTAGATGAGCCGGAGGGAAGGGGAGCATTCAGTATCCAGTCGTCCCTGACGGAGGAGCTGAGTGTGGGAGCTTTTCTTCCCCAGGGGGGAGAATCTTTAGTTGGAGCCTCAGGCTATTCCCCAGAGACCCTTTTACTCTCCCGCCCCCCTGCCCCCAACCTGGTGGAGTTTGACTTCTGATCTGCTCTGGTCCTTTATGGTCACCCTTGTCTCTCCACGTGCCTGCTACTGTGTCTTAAGTTAGGGACTCTTAAAAGTTTGGGAGAAAAAGAGATGAAAGTGAGCAGGGCTGATACTTCATCTAGTTCCCAAAGCATGGGCCTACACACAAAAAAGCCCAGTGCTTCCAGTGCCCTGAGGGATAGAAGTGGATGCGGCTCCTATGTTGTGTAGGTGCCAGTCTCTTTAATTACAATTACATGGGCACTGACATGGTCCGTCCTACGGAAGCAGTTGTTATTTCTTGGTTTTACTTCTAAAGGTAGGATTTTAATTACACCTTTTGTTTAAAGGGTCCTTTAGAGTTGAAAATTCATAAAGTGATGCTTGTCCTTGTTATACACTAGTCAAGGTGGTAGCTGGTGTTTTACGCAAGAACATATACCATAGTGCTTACGGGGGTCCACTCTGGAATCAAGCCTGGGTTTGTGTTGCTATCCGCACCTTCCAAGCTGTGTTCCTGGGCACGTTGTTTAGCTTCTTGAAGTTGCGTTTTCACCATCCACAGGAGATGCGCATATTAACAATCAGTTGTATAGGCCATCTGTGTAAGGAAATAATGCTTGTAAAGTCCTAAGTACAGTGCTGCATGTTAACAAAATGCTTAATAAATGCTAGCTATTATTGTTGTTATTGTTACTCACATGGCTGCTGAAATGTAGCAGTGTGATTAAGAACTACTAACATAACCTTTTTAAAACTGGAAGTGGGAAGGGTGTTGGTTGTGACCTAGCCAGTTAAACCAATGCTTGGGATGCCACATCCCATGCTGGACAGGAAATTTGAGTCGCGGCTACTCTACTTCCAACCTATCTTCCTGTTAGGTTGCCTGGGAAGCAGCCGATGATAGCTCAAATACTTGAGTCACTGCCACCCACAGCGGATACCCAGATGGAGTTCCTGGATGTTAGCCTTGGCCTTGCAAAATATTTGTATAAGGGATCTGTGAAAAGTTATGGAAAATACATACTGGCCGGCGCCGCGGCTCACTAGGCTAATCCTCCGCCTTGCAGTGCCGGCACACCGGGTTCTAGTCCCGGTCGGGGCGCCGGATTCTGTCCCTGTTGCCCCTCTTCCAGGCCAGCTCTCTGCTGTGGCCCGGGAAGGCAGTGGAGGATGGCCCAGGTGCTTGGGCCCTGCACCCCATGGGAGACCAGGAGAAGTACCTGGCTCCTGCCATCGGATCAGCGCGGTGTGCTGGTCGCAGCGCGCCAGCCGCGGAGGCCATTGGAGGGTGAACCAACGGCAAAGGAAGACCTTTCTCTCTGTCTCTCTCTCACACTGTCCACTCTGCCTGTCAAAAAAAAAATAAAATAAAATAAAAATAAAAAAAATACATACTATGAAAAAAACTTTCACCCAAATAATTTTATTTTTTAAAGATATATTTATTTGAAAGGCAGAGTTTCAGAGAGCAAGAGAAGGTGAGAAAGAGAGAAAGAAATCTTCTATCCTCTGGTTCACTCCCCAAATGGCAGCACTGACCAGGTTGGGCCAGGCTGAAGCCAGGAGCCAGGAGCTTCGTCCACATGGGTGCAAGGGCCCTAGGACTTGAGCTGTCCTCCACTGCTTTCCCAGGTGAATTAGCAGGGAGCTGGATGGAAAGTGGAGCAGCTGGGACTTGAACTGGCGCCCATATGAGATGCTGGCACTTCAGGCCACAGTTTAAGCTGCTGCGCCACCATGCCAGCCAGGAACCATTTTTAAATTCCATTTTCTATCATTTCTTGAATTACCTGTGTATTACTAAACAATCTAGAAAATAAAGGCATGTGACCATATGTTTTTTTTTTTAAAGATTTATAGATTTACTTGAAAGGCAGAGTGACAGAGAGAAGGAGAAACAGATCTTTCATCCATTCATTCACTTCACAAATGGCCGCAACAGCCAGTGCTGGGCCCAGCTAAAGCCAGGAGCCAGGAACTTCCTCCTGATCTCCCACATGGGTGGTGGAGGCCCAAGTACTTGAGCCATCTTCCACTGCTTTCCCAGGCGCATTAGCAGGGAGCTGGATTGGAAGCAGAGAAGCCAGGACAGGAACAGCCCTTCAGTATGGGATGTCTTGTCGCAAGCAGGTCACCTCAGTGCTGGTCCTGACAAAAGATCTATGGAAAGAAATAATTTTTAAGCATGTTTATAAATTTGACTTGGGTTTCTCTTTTCAGTATCATCAAGCATGATCGAGCGATCTGTAGTGGAAACAGCGGTCCAGGAATGCAGTAAATCAGTAGATGAAACTATGTATGTGGATAAAATTTACTTCTTTCCTGGTTGGAGGTGTTACTTGTAATTGTTTTCTTAGGGAAATAATTAGTGATCAGCATTTGCATTTTTACAATGGTGGATGTTGTTATTTCAGTGTTTCTTTTAGCCTGAATTAGAAACTTTATTATTAAATTATTCTGTTTTTTTCCTTGCATTTGAGATTATAGTGTTTATACGTTTGCTGCTTACATAAGCAATCTGATTTTTTTATTCTGTATGCTATGGATGGATTGAATTCACTATTCAGGAATATGATTTACTTTTGCCCTTAGGAAAGAACTGAGCCCAGAGAAGTTTAGCACCGTAGCATGGGTACACAATGAATGGCAAATGAGGGTAGAACCTTCATTTTATGACTCTACTATTGAATGTTTTTACATTTAAGAATTTATATGGCAGTACATTTTCTGGTTTTTATTTTTTCCTTTCCTTCTATGAGTGTGTTACTTCCAAATTCATGGGATTTAATTGAGAGGAAACCATATGGGAAAATGGGCAGAGAGAGAGTTTTAGGTTTGAAAGTACTTTTTATTTATTTGAAAGATGGAGAGACTCAGAGACAGAGAGAGACAGAGCGATGCCTGGTAAATTTCCCAAATGCCCGCAACACCATAACAGGCAGGGCTAGGGCAGGCTGAAGCGGGGGGTCTGGGACTCCGTCCAGGTATCCCACGAGGGTGGCAGGGACTAAAGTACTTGAGCCATCTTTTGCTGCCTCCCAGGGTGCACATTAACAAGAAATTGGATCACAGTGGAGCAGCTGAGACTCAGACCAGGCACTCCAATATGGTATGCAGGGGGCCAGCGCTGTGGCGTAATGGATAAAGCTGCTGCCTACAGTATCAGCATCCCATATGAGCGCCGGTTCAAGTCCTGGCTGCTCCACTTCCAATCCAGCTCTCTGCTATGGCCTGGGAAAGCAGTGGAAGATGACCCAAGTCCTTGGGCCCCTGCACCCTCGTGGGACACCTGGAGGAAGCTCCTGGCTCTGGTTTCAGATCGGCACAGTTCTGGCCTTTGGAGCCAATTGGGGAGTGAACCAGTGGATGGAAGACCTCTCTCTCTCTGCCTCTCCTTCTCTTTCTGTGTAACTCTGACTTTCAAATAAATAAGTCTTTAAAAAAGCAGCAGCTCCACTTGCTGCACCACAACGCCTGCCCTGAACAGTTCTTTTCCGTGTGGGGCAATGGGGATGACTGAAAGGAATCATGGCCTTTATTTTGGTTAGTAATTGCAGTCTTTTCTCTGCCAGAATGACTAGAACTTGTAAGTTTAAAGAAAGAAAGGAAGAAAGAGAAGGATAGCATTTGGCCTAGCAGTAGAGACACTCATGTCGCACTTCGGATCCTGGGTTCCATACCCAGCACTGGATCCTCGCCCCAGCTTCCTGCTAATGCAGTCCCTGAGAAGCCGTGCTCACCCACGTGGAGACTGGTATTGTATTCCTGGCATTGTCCCAATCTGGTCTGCCGTTGTTCTATTTCAGTCTTTTGGGGTGTGAACCACTAGATGGAAGCATTCTCTGTCTTTCTGCCTCTCAAATAAATAAAGAGAAGCAAAAAAAAAAAAAAAAAAAAAAAGAGAGAGAAATTGTGGATCCTTAATTTTACCCTTGCACACTCATTATTTAAAAAACTAGAATGCAGTGAAATGCTCCTAAATTACCTGTTGTTTCTGTGAGGCTCTTTTTTTTTGAAAAGCAAAGACTTTGCTTATCTTTTTGCCTTTTTTTTTTTTTTAAGATTTATTTTGTTTATTTGAAAGGCAGAGTTACTATATGAGAAGTCTCTACTAAGTTCATGGAAAATGTGTATCATCAAAAAACTGTACATTTCAAAAGGTTTATGCATCAAAATTAGCTTTCAATTCCATTTTCCTATGAATTTTTGAAGTATCCTTGTATATATGAATGTCAGGGATATGGCCAAAACTTTGGGGGGTTCTTATTTTAAAGAGAGATTAATTTATTTATTAGGGCTGGCGTTGTGGTGAAATGGTTTAAAGCCATACAGTGCTGGCATCCCGTATGGGCACCTGTTTGAGTCCTGGCTGTTCCACTCTCAATTCAACTCCCCACTCATGCACCTGGGAAAGCAGGGGAGGGTGGCCCAAGTCTTTGGGCCTCTGTACCCATGTGGAGACCCAGAAGAAGCTCCTGGCTCCTGGCTTTGGCCTGGCCAGCCCGGGTAGTCACAGCCATTTGAGGAGTGAACCATTGAGTGGAAGATCTCTCTGCAGAAATACAGAGAGAGAGGCAGAGAGCTCTTCCATTTGCTGTTTTTCTCCCCAGATGGGTGTAATGGCCGGGTCTCCCATGTGGGTGGCAGAGCCATAAATACTTGGATCATCCTCCGCTGATTTCCCAGCACATTAGCAGGAATGCTAGATCAGAAGTGGAGCAGCTGGGACTTGAACCGGCCCTTCCTTGGGATAGTGGCGTTGTAGGAGGTAGCTTTACCTGCTATGCCACAGCTTTGGCCTGGAGGACTCTTTTTCTATTCCACAGCTTTTTCTGGGACATTTTTGCATATTTTGAATTTAAAACATTGTTGAATGTGAACCATACTTTTAATTATCTCGTAATTCATAAAAGTAGCACAAATGGGAACAATTTATTTAAGATGTAGCTGTTTTATATATAAATGTCCTTCTTTGGCAAGTGGTGTTCTTAATTTGAAGTTAACTGGAGAATATTGTTTTTCTGGAGAATGTTGACAATGCTTTATTGTTTATTTAAAGGAAAATGCCCAAGCTAAAAATTTTATCCTGTATTATTTTTGACATTATCAGAAAAATGTGAAAATTACATGAAGAAAGACAGAATTATAATCCAGTTATGTGTTCACCAGCAGTACTTATGTGTTAGTAATTCAAGTCTCTGTGTGGGATGTTTTTCAGAGAACATATTTTCAATATCATAGGAGCATTTGATATTCCACGCTTTGTGTACAATACAGAAAGAAAAAAGTTTCTCCCGTAAGTGTACTACCTATTGATTTTAAGTTATTTTGGATGCATACAGAAGGGTGTATATTTTCTTCTGTAAGTGTATTATTTGATTTCAAGCTAGTTTCAAATATATATTTTTCATGTATATTTTCATGTTTCACTTTTGTCTCATTTTTATGTTATGAGAGTGAAACACAGGCATTCCTTTCTTCCAGTCTGTTAATGACCAACCACCCTGCACCAAATTTGTTTGGAACAGCAAGAGATAAAGCAGAGCTGTTTCGTGAACGATACATCATTTTGCACCAGGTAAGTTGGTGGGAATGCTAGGTAAATTAGGGGGAGAACAGAGATTAGCGGGCAGCATCTTGGCACAGCAGGTTAAGCCATGCTGGCATCCCAGTTCGTGTTCTGGCTGCTCCACTTCTAAACCAGCTCCCTGCCAATGGGCCTAGACAGGCAGCAGAAGATGGTCCAAGCACTTGGGCCCCTGGCACCCATGTGGGAGATCCAGATGGAGTTCCTGGCTCCTGGCTTTGGCCTCTTCTAGTCCTGTCTGTTGTGGCCATGTGGGGATTGAATGAGCAGATGGACAATCACTCCCCTCCTCCCCCCCATTTTCCCGCTCTCCTCCTCACCCCGTTCCCATTTTCCCTCTTTCTCTGTTGCTCTGCCTTTCAAATAAATTATTTACTTATTGATTTTAAGGTTCATTTATTTATTTATTTGAAAGACAGAGTTACAGAGAGAGGGAGAGACAGAGAGAGAGAGATCTTCCATCTGCTGGTTCACTCCCCAAATGGCCCCAATGACCAGGGTTGGGCCAGACTGAAGCCAGGAGCCAGGAGCTTCTTCTGGGTCTCCCACGTGGGTGCAGGGGCCCAAGCACTTGGGCCGTCCTCCACTGCTTTCCCAGGTGCATTAGCAGGAATCTAGATCAGAAGTAGAGCAGCCAGGACTTGAACCAGCACCCATATGGGATGCCAGCATTGTGGGAGGCAGCCCCTAAATGTTTTGTTTGTTTGTTTGTTTGTTTGTTTTTTTAGAGAGAGACTATTTTAGCTTAGGGAACTCTCAAGGATATTTAAAGGATGGAACTTTGTAATTAGTTACTCAATATTGACTGTTACTGGAGTCTCTGTACTTGAGATGGTCTGGGGGATGCAGAGATGAAAAGATAGCTTCTCCTTAATAATAATGATGGCAATAAAAAATAATCACTAACATTTACTACATGATATCAATAAGCCATGCTCTTTGTGCATTTTATATATTATTTGCCTCATTTAACCCTGTATAAGTTCTGTGGTTATCCCCATATCACAGATGAAGAAACCGTGGCCCCAAGAAGGTTAGTAACTTGCTCAGAGATCACAGTTAGGACATACAGACAGGGCTGGAATTCAGTCTATCTGGCTCTGGGGCTCAACTTGTGCCCGTTCTACCCTCAAGTACTGACAGTCTGTAAAGTGGAAGACATTTGCTCAAATGAAATATAAGGTAGAATTTCATTCATGCTGTAAAATAGATAGAGTAGAATGTATCTGATAAAAACCAGGAACGGCTTCAAGGAAATGAAGACATTTGACAGGGACTTTGTTGCATCAACCTTGTGCAAATGGGGAAAAATGATGGTAACAGTGTGCAGAAATCTCAACAAAAGGGGAAAAAAATGGCCTCTGAGCAGGAAGCAGTGAGCAGGCAGGAGTCACGTGGGATACGTTTGGAAAGACAAGCAGGAGCTCGATCATGGGCGTGCTTTGGATACCAGTCCTGGGAGCTGGGACTTGTTCTCCAGACACCAGCAGCCCCGGCTGTCAGAGACGTCATCAGAGCTGGGATTTGTGTGTTTCCCATGCCAGCCGATGTTGAGATGGATCAGGGTGTGAGAGCAGACAGACAGCCTTGGCATAAATGGTAGCCTTGTTGAAGGAGGTGGCAGTGGGATGAAACGAGGGAACAGCACTGGAACAGGGGACATCATAGTTCACGGTGACTGACTGGCAGAGAAGGAGAACGGAGAGGCAAGGAATCGAAGACCACTGAGGCTTTGCGTCTGAGGGTAGACGGTGGGATAATGCTAACGTGTTAGGTGTAAGGGAATCTTACGGAAGATGCTGGCAGGTTCTCTCTAGAGCATTGCAGTTAGGATTGCCAGGAGGGTGTCAGGTGAAACATACGTCTGCAGAAACACCTGGCTGGGGGGGTGGGCGCAGGGGTGGGCATCTGCATAGAGTGACAGTGCAAGGGTGAGACCCCCGAGAAAGAAAGGCCATGGGGATAGGATTTGGTGGCCAGGCTGGGCTGGTGGACGTGACAGAAGCACAAGAGGTTCTCAGGGAGAGGATGGTGGCCCGCAGGAGTCAGCACTGAATAGGGTTTGATGAGAAGGGACCCGGGGGCTGGCTGTCCTCTCCCAGCCCCGCTGCCTCTGGGACGGGGCCAGAGTAATCCTGAAGAGCAGCTCTGACCGTGTCACTATTTCACACGTGAGTTTTTCAAGGGCATTTGCTGCTACTGAGTGAAATACAAATGATCTTTGCTGCTCAAGGTCTACTCTCACACGTGGCTGGCCTGAGCTCTCCTTTTCTTCCAGTCACACTTTGTGGAAGTGAAAACTGAAATACAAATTACTGTTTCTTTTTTTGTGCACTTCTGTGACTTTATTCTGTTGCTTCCTCTTCCTCTTGTCTCTGCTGTTGAATCCATCTTGGTTTTAGAAGGCCCTCCTCAGATTCCTCTTCCTTTCTGAAGCCCTTCTCTCTCTCTCTCTCTCTTTTTTTTTTTTTTTTTCAAAATATTTTATTTATTCATTTGAGAAGTAGAGTTACAGACAGTGAGAGGGAGAGACAGAGAGAAAGGTCTTCCTTCCGCTGGTTCACTCCTCAAATGGCCACAACAGCCAGAGCCAGACCAGTCCGAAGCTGGGGGCCAAGAGCTTCCTCTGGGTCTCCCTCATGGGTACAGGGGCCCAAGTGCCTGGGCCATCTTCTACTGCTTTCCCAGGCCATAGCAGAGAGTTGGATTGGAAGTGGAGCAGCTGGGACTAGAACCGGTGCCAATATAGGATGCCAGGGCTGCAGGCAGAGGATTAACCCACTGTGCCACAGCACTGGCCCCTTCTTAAGCCCTTCTTGATTTCCAGTTAGATACAGTCTCTATTCTAATATTTGAAGGCAGACAGACAAAGAGAAAGAAAGAGACACCATCCTTTTTCTCTCCAAAATGTCTTGTCTCAGCCTCCTCTTATTTCTTACTAGCTAGGTCTTGTTTACCATTTAGGATCTTGCTAAATGACCCCTTGTGTGGGGCAGGGGCGGGGGGAGGAAGGGGTAGCAGTCAGCCCCCATGGTCCTTTGGTCCTTCCCCTAGCCTCGGTGCTCTGAGGGTGACGTTTGGTGTGTGGTTTTCAAATCTCATATCCTCAGCCCAGAGTACACTGCTGCCAAGCACACAGACCTATTTTTTTTTTTTTTTAAGATTTTATTTATTTGAAAGACAGTTACAGAGAGAGAGGGAGACAGAGAGAAAGCACTTCCATCCTCTAGTTCACTCCCCAAATGGCCCCAATGGCTTGAGCTGGGCCAGACTGAAGCCAGGAGCCAGGAGCTTCTTCTGGGTCTCCCATGCTGGTACAGGGGCCCAAGGACTTGGGCTATCTTCTACTGCTTTCCCAGGCCATAGCAGAGAGCTGGATCAGAAAAGGAGCAGCCAGGACACAAACTGGCTCAAATATGGGATGCTGGTGCTGCAGGCAGAGGCTTAGCCCACTATGCCACAGCACTGGCCCCAACTTTTTTTTTTAAATGTTCATTTATTTATTTTCATCTATTTGAAAGAGAGTGACAGAGAGAGAGAGGGAAAAAGAGAGAGAGGGAAAAATAGAGAGATATCTTCCATGTGCTGGTTCACTCCCCAAGTGCTTGAAACAGCCAGAACAGGGTCAGATTGAAGCCAGGAGCCTGGAACTCCATCTAGATTTTCCCTGTGGGTGGCAGGAGCCCAAGCTCGTGAACCATCGTCTGCTGCCTTAGCAAGAACCTGGATAGGAAACAGAGGTGCTGGGACTTGAACTGGCACGGTGATGTGGAATGTGGGCATCCCAAGCTGTGGCTTACCCAGCCACACTGTAATACCTGCCCCACGGCAGACCTTTTGAGATAGCTTTTTAAAAAAATATATGTATATTTTATCTTTAAAATTATATGTTTGGGGCAACCACTTGGCCTAGCAATTAAGGTTCGGGTGCCCACATCCCACATCAGAGAGCCTGGATTCAGTTCCTGGCTCTGTTTTCTGACTCCAGCTTCCTGTTAATGCAGATCCTGGGAGGCAGTGGTGATGGCATGACTGCTTGGGTTCTTGCCGCCTGCGTGGGAGACCTGGATTATGTTCCCAGCTCTCAGCTCTTAGCTTTGGCTTGGCCTAGCTCCATGGTCCTGGGCATTTGGGGAGTGAACCAGCAGTTCTCTCTCTCTCTGTCTCCAACTCTCAAATAAATAAGTAAATTTTCAAAGTTACATTTCTAGATGTTTGTTCATTATTAAAGCATATATGGATTTCCAAATTGGTTGGAAAGAGGTAATCATACCATTAATTTTAAGGACAGTGTTTCATCGGTGTAGTCTTTCAATGCACTTTAGTTTTAAATGTCTGTTTCAGTAATTCATGTGAATCTTCCTTTTTTCTAGCGGACCCACAGGCATGAATTATTTACTCCTCCAGTGATAGGTTCTCAGCCTGATGAAAGCGGCAGCAAATTCCAGGTTGGAATGTTATCCTGGTTATTTGGGGGGTGTAAGTAATAAGTTTAATATTTATTGCTCACGTTTAATTGGTTGGATTTTAAATGGACACAAACTGCTGGTACTGTTTGACTAGCTAACTTGTTAACGTCTGTGCCCAGTGCCCTGAGTCCAACAGTCTAACGGGAGCTACGGCTTCCTTCTCAGAGGCAGGCCCTGGTAGCATGGGAGCCCCCAGCTACTCCCCAGCCTCCGGGATAGACTTTGAGACCTCCAAGTGCATCTGCTGGGTACTCTGCTGGCTTTCTGAGCAACTTGCAACATAACCTTCTTGCCCCCACTCATCTCCAAATCCTGGTCCATCCCTCTCCTGGCCATCACGCACTCGTCCAACTCAAACAGGCTGTATGAGTTGGAAGGAAAACTTGACTTAGGGTGCTAAGGAAATACCGTTCACGAATGAATGAGAGAACACCGACTGGGCAAGGTGGATGAGATCTGCGGAATGGAGAGGAGAGCGAAGATGTTTTTGTTGATTAAAGTAAAAGTGTGTGTTCTGGCCACTTTTAGGCTTTGGAAAGCAGAGAGATAGCACTGTCACTCTTGTTCCAGCAAGATGCTTGGCCGCTGTCAGTCCATCGGTGGCTCTGTTTCTGCAGCATGAAGAACACTGCTGGGATGTAGTCCTTAGCTACTTCTGTCGAGGCTTTACCATTTCCATATGACTTATTTACTTATTTGAGAGGCAGAGAGAGAGAGAGAGAGAGAGAGAGAGAGATCGATCTTCTACTGGGGAGGGGGGGAGAGAGGGAGGTATCAGTCTGCCATCTGCTGGACTTCTCCCCAGTTGTCCACGACAACCTGGAACTTAATCGGGTCTCCCTTGTAGGTGGCAGGAACTCAAGTACTTAAACCCACACCAGCTGCCTCCCAGGGTTCGTATTAGCAGGAAGCTGGAATCAGGAGCCAGAGCTGGAACTCAAACCTAAGTACTCTGATAGGGAAGGCGGGGTGGGCATCCTAAGCAGCATCTTAGCCACTAGGCCAAACGCCTGCCCCTCTATATAAATTTTGAAGAGGCCCAGCCTCTTCTAATGTTGCTTTTATTCTCTACCATATGAGCTGACTCTTCACTATGATGAACAGTCTGATAGAAACTGCAACAGTGGTACTAAATAATGGTTAGCATCGTGTTCAGTGACTGCACCATAAGGAGAAAACGTTTGTAGTGTTTGACAGTTTCTGCTTTTAACTTTATTATTAGAGTATAAATTGTATTGCAGTATTTTATTTCCATACCAAAGACCATCCTTAGATTTTATATATGAAGATAATTCAAAAAGTGTGGGAAAATGAGATTGAAAGTTTATTTTGGTGCAAGAAATTTTTGAAATCCATAAATGGTTTTTGTCTTTTTATTTTATAGTAATACGCAGTTTCTCTGAACTCTTGGAAGACTTCATATACATGTCTGTCTCTCTCAAATAAATGATTAAATGATTTTTTTTTAAAATGGAAAGTAAAAAGGTTGCAGAGTAATACAAATTCTGTGATGTCATCTTTGCAAATACAAACTGTTGGTGTGTGCTAATAAATTATATATGTGTATGTTTACAAATAATTAGGATTATGTAAAGGAAAAACTGGAAAGAATTTTTTAAATGGTGGCTCAGTTGTTGGTACTTTTAACTTTCTGTTAAGAATGTTAATAATCATGGCAAGATTTCAAAAACACCAATGAAAGTAGAGTATAACTTAAAATAGCCCACCGGTTTTGGAGAGGTGCTGAACAAATAAAATTAAAAAACTGATACTTTTCTCTCTCCTAAAAGATAAATGTAATTATCATTATTCAGAATGATGTTGTGTGAAACTTCAGTCATTGTTAAGGACCTGAATAATACAATGGGTCTTCAGGCATAATTCTTCCAGCCCAATAGATAAGTCCATTTGATATTTTAGCTTCCTTTAGGACATGATTAAAGTTTGATTTTTTTTTTACTATAACTATAAATAGCCAATCATATAGTTTTTTTTTTTTTTTGACAGGCAGAGTGGACAGTGAGAGAGAGAGACAGAGAGAAAGGTCTTCCTTTTGCCGTTGGTTCACCCTCCAATGGCCGCCGCTGCAGCCGGCGCACCGCGCTGATCCGATGGCAGGAGCCAGGAGCCAGGTGCTTTTTCCTGGTCTCCCATGGGGTGCAGGGCCCAAGCACCTGGGCCATCCTCCCCTGCACTCCCTGGCACAGCAGAGGGCTGGCCTGGAAGAGGGGCAACCGGGAGGGACAGAATCCGGCGCCCGACCGGGACTAGAACCCGGTGTGCCGGCGCCGCTAGGTGGAGGATTAGCCTAGTGAGCGCGGCGCCGGCCTGAATGGATGAATTTTAAGACTTATTTATTTGAAAGAGAGAGAGAGAGAGAGAATCTTCTGTCTGCTGGTTTCCTCTCCAAATGGTTGCAACAGCCAGAACTGGGTAAGCCAAAGCGAGGAGCTAGTAACTCCATCCAAGTCTCCCACATGGGTGGCAGGGATCCAAGTACTTAGGCCATCATCTTCGGCTTCCCAGGCACATTAGCGGGGACCTGGGTCAGAAGTGGAATAGCCAGGAACTTGTACTGGCTCTCTGATATGGGATATTGGTGTCCCACGTGTTGGCTTAACTCATTGCACCACAACTTCTGTCTCCAACATAGATGAATCTTAAAGGTATAAAGTTGACAAACAAGAAAATGTTCAATGTTACATTTATTTGTTCTTTATTTGTTCTTTTGCTTATTACAAGTTTTAAACCAAACCAAACAAACAATTTTAGAGGACTATACAGATGTACTAATTTGAAGAAAAGAAGGGAAACAATTATTGTAAAATTCAGATTTTTATTTTTCCTGGAGACCAAAGCAGCATGGGGTTGAGCGGGCACTCAGAGGACTTTTAAGTTCTTGATGCTATTTTATTTCTTCATCTGGCTCATGAGTTTTGATGCTATCATTCTTTTTTAAACTGTCAGCACATATTCTGTACTTTATGCATGATCTAGATCACAATAAAGAAATAACAGCAATGTTATTTCATGTCCTCCAATGGTGGGGAGGGGGGAAAACTCATTCCAGTTCCTGAATATAAATTACTCATTTTGATGCTAACAATGTGTTAGATATATAGAAGTATACATCAGATATCTTACAAATTTAGTGTTATCATTAAGTTTATAAGTGGTGACTTATCTGTCATCACATCCCATAGGCACTCTCTCTGGCCTTTGTCTTTACTTCCTAGCTCTGTTCAACTCATTGAATCCAAATGCACTGTGTGGCAACATGCTCTTCTGTAGACCCATAACAAGCATACTCTTTTTTTCTCCCTCTTCTCTGGACATTTCCTCTCATTCTCTGTAATGACTTTCTTCTGACCTTCCCCTTCAATATTGGCCATCTGTCCAGACTGTCTGGTCTCCTCACTTTAAAACTTGTCCTACCTGTCCTTCCTTAAATGAACTTATTCATCTATCACAACAGTTATTCCCTTTACTCTAATGACTCCCAAATACATATCTTTCTATCCATCTGGGTAAAGATCTTTTTTTTTTTTAATTTTTATTTGACAGGTAGAGTCATAGACAGTGAGAGGGAGAGACAGAGAGAAAGGTCTTCCTTCCATTGGTTCGCTCCCCAAATGGCTGCCACGGCTGGAGCTACGCCGATCTGAAGCCAAGTGCCTTCTCCTGGTTTCTAATGCGGGTGCAGGGCCCAAGCACTTGGGCCATCCTCCTCTACCTTCCCAGGCCACAGCAGAGAGCTGGACCAGAAGAGGAGCAACCGGGACTAGAACCTGGCGCTCATATGGGATGCCGGCACCGCAGGTGGAGGATTAACCTAGTGCGCCACAAGCGCCGGCCCCTGGGTAAAGATCTTAATTGAGCTTTTTATTTTCTTATTCTAGAATCAGGCATCATGTCATTCTGTAAAATAGAATCAATGTTACAAAGGTTGAGTAGAAGTTGACTTTATATGT